GTCATACATGCATGTCTCTCTCAAGCTACTTACTATTAATAAAACTGAAAAAAAAATGCAGGAAAGTTATTTTGTGTATTATGTGCCTCCTGCACTGTGGCATTCAAATGCCTCTTGTTTGTGCTTTACAAAGCTTTACTTTTTTTTCCAGCTACACCCTTTCCTTTAACTGTTCAAGTCAGAATAATCTCTACACACAAGTTCTGGTTCACAGATGCGTGTCCTTTAAACCAAGACATTTTTCATGCCAACCCCACAGAGGGAGTAGCCTTTTTATTTGGGGTGAGAGAGACTGTGAGAGCAAGCACATTACAGAATCAAGAAGTRACTTGGCAGAACTCCCTTCCCTTTCACACACTTCCACTTCAAACACACAGAAGTTGTTCCATGAGTGAAACAAATGAAATTTGGCTTCCTCACAGTTGAAGACTCTAAATGTAGTAAGGAGTAGATGAGTATTACGGATTTTGCTGAAGTCAGAGTATTCAYAACACCTCCAACCACATTCTCATACACTCACAAGAACTTGCATTTCAGCTTTTCCATCAGAGGAGATTCTTATCTCTACCCCTCAGCCAGCTCACATGCTTTTCTACCAAGCATCTAAGCATCTAATGTCAGCCAGCTTCAAAGCTACTGGGTGGGGTCAGACAGTATTGCACACACAGCAAGGTCAATCACAGTATCCTAATTTCTTAAGAAACGTGGCCATCTAAAAAAAGGTGCTCTTGATATCAGGAAAAATTAACACTACAATACAGCTAAACAAGAGCAATAGAACTCAMTATAAGAAGCAGTAACCAAAGCAATTCATGTTTATCTTCAGTCTGAAGATTATTTTTTTATTTCATTGTGRAATTGCAATTAATCTATTATTAACATTATTATTAATATTAATTTATGTGACTGAAGGTCTTGAGACATGATAAAAGTGCTTAGAGAAACCAATAGCAGAAGGGCAAGAATCAACAGCTTGAGACTGCTGACAATAACTTAGAAATAAATCATAATAGCAAGCAGCCAACCAAAGGAACAGGTTACCACCAGCCTTGAGATCAGTTTAATCACAACATCAACACTGGTTGTTATTTCCACAAATATGCCACAATTCAGCCACATCTTATTGGACTTGATCACATTCTAAAAGGAGATAGGAAAAGGAAATGATTCCATCATTTTAAGACAGAGTGGACTCATTACACCAATGGTCAAAATACATCAAAGCAATCCTGCATAGCTGGAAATTATTAATCTAAACTTTGACAAACTACTGAAGCTCAAATAGGATGTTCACTCAAGGGACACTTAATTGTTTTTAGACTGCTCTTTTCATGGAATGCTGCTCCTCAGAGGTGCTCATTTTATATCATGATATCTAGTATATTGCCTAAAACAACAAAACAGATGCTAACTGTGYCAGAACTGACACTCAGGGAGCGAAACTTAGGCTGCTTTGAAAAGGAGGGCAGGGGAGTGGTGTTGTTTGRTTGGTTTGGGKTTTTGTCTTGATTTTTTTKGTATGGGGGTAGGGGAGTTTGCAGTTTGCAGAGAATAGATAAGCTACATTTCAGGACACAATGAGAAGGTGCCTTACTCACCCAAATAACTTTGAAAACAGGCAAGGACAGCCCCTCCCCCATGATACTCCATTGCAGAGGAAACCAACCCACAAACCACTGAACACACTGAGAATCTTCCCACTGATTTCAGGACATACCAACACAGGCCCATGTTTCAGTTCCCACAACGTGACCAGTACGACAAAGAGGAACAGGCTAAAGGTTAAAAAGGAAAAAACAAAACCACACGATTGCTGYTTTGAATGAAGAATTATAGAAGTGATCTGTATCCACTCCTTCGTTCACATGAGTCTCTGGAAAATGTCACATCTTAGGAAGGTGAGCAAGCTACCACTAAATCCATTAAAGGGATTAATCAGGTGTCCTCATGGACCAAAGCCAAGGTCAGCATCACTTACAGAAAAGTGKTTTTTTTATTCAAAATTTAATCAAAGCAACAAAACAACAGGTATTAAAAAGTAAGGAATCTTACACTACTCCTTCATGCTATTGCTGTGCTCTGATTATGAGTAGGACTAAATACACCAGTAAGATCCCWGAAATAATTCTACAAATAAAAGTATTTTCTGACATGCAACTTATTCAAAGGGTTCACTGCTCATGATTCTTTTGGTCCTCATTTACTGGAGAGATTAATTTCATAACCCACAGAAAGCAATTATRTGGTGCACCTGCCTGTCATGTCTGACATCTTAATTTTTAGTAGTTTCTCTTCAAAAGACAGACAACTTCCTGCAGTGTTGTACATTTTTTCAGCCCCTGCAAGAAATTAAAGCAAGTAGAATTAAGAGCCACTGAACTGCTCAATTTACTCCCCTCAGTTCCTGAGAGACAAGCAGATAAGCACCTACAATGCACAAAATAAGGTGACAACTTATCCAGCAGCAAATGCAGATTTGCAGCTTTACAAGGGTCATCTTCCTCTCACGCCACTGTCTCTCCTCCATCAGAGATTTCAGGTCCCTGCTGGCCAATGTCTGCTCCTGGTGTTCTGGTCACAGCTTGAAAGGCTCAAACATGAGTCCTCCTCCTCTACCTGCAAATTCATTGCTGCCTGTTCAAGCACTGCTTCACAGGTCAATCTCCCTCCAGGAAAGGGGAAACACACATTGAGAAGAGAGACACAGCATCTTTGAGCAACTTTGAGAGAGTACCTTTGCACTAGGCATACAAGGAGAATGTGCTGCTTGTTAAATGAAATTTCTGTTTCAATAGCTGACTGTTTCATTTTTTGTAGGAGGAGACCCAAAGCTGACAGCCTTGGACAGCTTGGAAAACTATTTCCTCTCCCTTCTTCTTATCTGATATTCCCACTTATTGTCACCTTAACTTTCTTCATTACTGTTTCTCGGTTATATCAATACTACATATACAAGACAGAAGCCAAGACAGCCTTTTTTTAACACCATGCTATGGTCTTAGTAGTGTTTCTCAGGATGGCCTTCTAAGACCAATATTTGCACCAACTCCTCTGCTCACAGATGCTGTCTTCCTGAGAAATCATTATCATTAAATCATTATCATTAAATCATTATCATTAAAATCAGGTACATTATTGTTACCAATGTCTGTTTCATCCTCTGATTTGAAGGATGTGGGAAAAAAAAAAAGGAATTAAGTGATACCTGGTACAACTCGTTCTCTGATTCATACTTCAAGCTACAAAATCGCCAAGAACTGTTGTGTAGAATTTGAAGATATAATAAGGATAACATAAAATCTCAACACACTTTTCTTTCTTTCAAGAAGTGACACCTGAAACTATGGAACAAATTGATGCAAATGTCATATCAATCTCTTCCCTATTTACAAGAAATGATAGAAAATTCTTTTGTGTTCCCTTCCCACTAGCCGTCCCTTACTGCCTCTGCAGCAGTTCATATCAACAACCTGTCAGATTCCATCAAAAACCTATTTGGAGGATTATTTTCCCCCCAACCCCCTTAAACTTAAATAAAAAATTTCTCAAGTTGTCGCTTGCGAAAGCAGAAAACTGGGTTTAAAGAAAATAAATACAACCTGCAGATAAACAATCCTGGGGAAGGGGAGGGCAGAAGAACTGCCATCTTCATAYGACAATGTTTTTAAAAGATCCTTTCAAACTCTGAGTCAGATTTATACAAAGTATTGCTACTTCCTGAGAAGRTTACAGCACAGGTATACCACTGTAGCCTTCTGAAGAAAACACTGAGCAGAACCAGATCAGATTTGTAAAACAAGTATTCAGAGTTTATCTGCATGTATTTGCACAGGTGCAAATTCCTTCAGGGTGGAATCAAGTTCTGTCAGTGTCACAAGAGGAATAAAATAGTCAGGACTGCTGTATGAATCAACAGAGTTCCTGAAAACAGAGCCTGACCTGACCTTTCCTCCAGACCTGAGAGGGGCCAAGGTGAGTTACAGTTTTTTGCAACACATGTCAGAAAATCACAACACATCTATATTGTTACTGCTGTATTTGAGCATCAGTGTGATCTGTTTCGAAAGAGATGAAGTCTGAGTTGATCCAGAAATCAGGACATTGCATCATCATTTATTTATTCCAGAATCTGGCATTACACAACCACTATCTCACTGCAWTCAGCCAAGAATCTCAGCTTAGAGCAGGCAAAGAAGAAGAAATGTCAGAAGAGTAACATCAACACATGAAAATACTTGCGTGTGGCTCCAGCTCTGGTGGCATAGGGAAGCACAAGGCAGGCACTGACCACAATATAACCAATCATCACAATCATCACAATCCTCACCAATCATCACAGCAAAGCCCTCCTGCACAAACCTGCTCTGCAGGATACCTTGCACTGACCCGGACCCCTCTAGCACAAACCATGAGCAGCATATTTYACAAATCAACATGCAGCTCATATCACAGGTAGGTCAGGACCCCAAACTGATTAGGCTGAATAATCAGTATCAGTTTTACCAATAGACCAGATGCTGGTTTTGTGCTGTTGGGTTGTGTTTCTTTTCAATTTCATAATAAGCATCTCTCTTGGCTGACATATTCAGCAAGAAGCCAATGTAGCAGCACTTTACAGAAAGTGTTCTCTCAGGAGTGATGGGTTTTTTTCCCTGCCTGTTACAGTACAGGCCTACAATTACAGGAATTGTCATGGGCAAAGTTCTATAAAGTATTTCCCCTGCATGCAACATTTCTCAGTATTGAACAGCTTTAAATGGCCACTTTTCTTAAAACATTCAGTTGTATTACATTAAAAAAACCCCAAAGCTTTCCATTCAGACCCTTTGACTAACAAATTCTTCCAGCAGTTATTTGGAAAATGAGAATACATTTGAGCAATATGCATGTATTAATAAACATGCCCGTTATAACACTACTGTCTGTGGGTTTCTTTTAGCACCAGTGAGAAATATAAAGGCATACCTGGACTATGGAGGGTACAAAGATATTTAACCTACCTCATCAAAGCTGCTATCTTCCTTCTTCAAGGCTTTAAAATAAAAAGAAAAAAAGAAATTATTATCTGTACTGGATTTCAATGAACACAAAGTAACTACCACCAGAAAAGAAAAAGTAACCAGAGCATCATTTTTCTGTTATAATAGGAAAGAACAGGCTGGCATGAATAACAATTTTATATTCAAAATCTGAGTCTGTAAATGGAATGTAGAACTGCACAGAGAGTTTCCAAGACAGTAAATTTACATATTTATGAAAAATATTCTCTCAGGTTAAAGAAAATAAGAGTTTGTAAGGGTGATTTGTTTTTTTTTTTATTTTAATTCCTAGTGAGTGTGAAAACCCTTCATGGAGAGCTTGACTGAACTTCAAAAAGGGAAAGTATAACAAACACCTAACCATGTATTCAGTTTGTCAAGTACTAACTCTTTATGAAACAGTATGCCTTGTAGCATGTTTTTTTTTTCCTTTTTCTATTTTTCTTTTATAATTTTTTAATATGATTTACACCAATGCAGAAAAGATTTCTTTCTTAAACTGTTAACAAGCAATTAATCAACAAAGAATAGAGAAACAGTGCAGAAAATACGTGAACTAAGAAAATGAAGACACGAATAGTTCTGTAGTTGTAGCAAAGATTAAASTGATGAAAAGTTTTYMWTWAASAT